TTAGTTGGTAATTATTTGCAATTGGTGAAATCCCTGACTAGTATATGACCAAAGTGATTATTAACCACTAATATATTATTAACATTTTATAATAAGACTTAACTATGGCTTGGTTGTAAACTGGCTGATAAACTTAACTCTTTTCCCCTCCCTTATTATAAGCCAATTTCTAGAGTTACCCTTGGTGGTGTTACCCTTTCTGGTGTTACATCGGAGTCCCTATTCGTGGTCTTCCCTTCCTAGTCCCCCTTTTCTCTTCCTTTTTCCTTACTCTTTTTTATTTCTCTCTATTGATATTTGTCTTACCTTTTTGATTTACCTAAGAATAAACTAAAACTGACAAGCCACCTGAACAATAATTATAAGCCTATTATTCTACAACTATTAAATCTTTGAAAATTACCTACTATACTTAAATTGAACCAGCTTTACCTATAAAGAATTTGAACCTACTTAACCCTCATAGTTCCTATAACTTAAGTTCCATTAGAACCAACCCTATAAGGTTGGTATTGATTTCAATCCCTACTTTATACCATTCTTATCCTTTATTCCCTTTTCCTTTCATTGTTATTCCTTACGATCCTTTAGCTTCTATCCTTTCTTACGATCCTTTAGCTTCTATTCTACATCCCTTCCATGATAGTCAGTTAAAAGGAATTAATTAGATGACATCCCGTTAGCTAGGTTTATTTATCGATAGTGATTATAACGATCTCCTGTATAGACCCCTGCGAGATAATAAAAATTATAAGGACTGGTTTAGCTTGAATGTAATATATTATGAAGAGTAGTGTAATTATTATCCATAATTAACTATTATACTCCCTTGCGTACTGGTAATCTTTAAATCCCTTTTCTATTGAATTCTTATTATCTATCCCTTTTCTATTGGAAGTATTATTCTCTATTTTCTATCTTTTATTATCTATTTTCTATTGGTCATGCATATAGTTTGTAAAATTATCTTATATACAATACTTATAATTACTATCCATCAGTTGAGCCTTGGTTTGATCGGGTGACCAAAGTCACACATAATAAGAACTATTTTTGTATATTACAACTTGTATTATTTTATATTATTGTATTTCAACTTGTATTATTTATAGTGTTCTAGACATAGTTCTATAACTACTGTTCTCTATAACTACTGTATATTGTATAATTTATTCTATAACTACTGTATATTGTATAATTTATTCTATAACTACTGTATATTGTATATTTTATTGTATTATTATCTGAGCCCTATCTATTTCGTCCCCCATTGTATCACATGTAATCAGTTCGATCCTATTAAATATATAACATAAATATGTGAATAAAGTACAAAATAGTATTTAAGGTCAATGAACAACCTAATAGGAAACCAGGGTACCCGTGGAGTAGGGAATAAAATTTAAGAAGGCAGCCGAATCTAAAAAGAGTGGGGGGGCCACATAATTGGGGCCCCAAATTATAGCCATATAAGGAAAAGAAAGAAAAGGAATCGCGGGTCGTATAAATGAGGAAGTACGATTTTAAAACTAATTATTTATCTTGTTATCAGATCTTCTTTAGGGGGTTTCATACATATGGACTCATTCTTCCCCGGCTTCCCAATCTTTTTTCCCTGTTGTTTTTTCATTTTCTTTTTCATTCTCTTCCAGCCCCACCTCTTCCTTTTTAAACTTATTCCCCTTTTTTTTCTTTCGCTCTTTCTTTATAGATCTCCTCGATCTTCAGGCCAACACAGGTTTGTACAGCTATATCCTCCATTTTATATATTTATATTAAGTTGGGATTTATGACCTAATTAGAGTAGATCTTCCTAATTAGAGTAGGTATTATACAAATTATAGTAGGTCTTTATGACTTTATTAGGCTAGGTTTTTATGATTTCTTCCTTTTATTCTTCTTCTTATATCCCCTTCATTATCTTATTCAATGCGTATGTTATTTTATATCCTTTATGATGTGGTTCTATGAAATCGGTTTAGTTAATGGGCTTATGGTTTTATGAATCTTTATGAACTCAATGGATTTATATCTATCTACTTATCTATTTTATAAAACTAACTTACTCTATCATAAAACTAACTTAATTTGTAAGGTATTAAGTTTCAGTAAAGTTTATTATTTAAACCCTACCTGGGACGGGTTACCACCAGTAATCGTCATCTATAATAAATCTTGGGTAGTCAGTTTTAAGGGACAAGGAAGTAGATGCTAAGGTAGGTCAAATAAGATCAGGTTTATTTCATATAAGAGTTTTAAGGATATGGTTATTATAGAAAGTAGTAGGAAAATAATTATTTAAAGGAAACCCATAGATAGTTTATAGTATAACCTAGATACTATTATATTAATTTTCCCTCGATACTTTTTTATTCTTTATTTTACAAACTATTAAGTTCCAAGTTTTTATTCTTATTTTATCGTTTTATTTATATATTCGATCCCACCCTCTTGCCCCCTTACACCTCCTTTAGTTAAGCGTATCATACCCTAGCTTTTACTACCCCCTGCCCCCCCTTTGATCTAAACCTAGATCCCCTCATGCAATCCTTATTGTCATTCTTAAACTATAGTCTCTGTCTTCTTGTCCCTTGTCTTCACCATCCACGCATAGAATTACCACCCCTCTATAGACCTACCCCTTTTTATTGATTATAGGTTCCAATCCCTCCCTCTCTCTATCCCCAATCTAGGTTTTATTGAATAATAGGCCATAGGCTAATTTGCATAATCATCCCCTCCCTTGTTTCTAGCCCTATGAAAAGTATGGTCTGGATAACCTACAGGGGGATTTGGGTTTTTCCTAAAATTTTTATCCTTTATACCAATTTATTTATTATTATTATGCTTGGCTATCTTATCCCCCTATGCCCCTCATTGTTTTCTCATAGCCTACGATCCCTTTACCCATATTTTTATTAACAATTTATATGTTATCCCAGTCGCCTCTATCAGGTTCTCTATAATTTTTATTAGTCATCCCCCGTTCTCTTCACCCTTATTACTTACCCCTTGCTTCTTACCTATTAGCCACTTTCTTATTATTAGACTATTTCCCATCCCAATTACTATTCACTTAAACACTATCCCTTAATCTGTAATTAGAGTAAGTATAATTAACCGTTTAGGAGAGTTTAACACGGGTTATAAGGAATAGAAGTAGGGGGTGGGAATACAAATAATTGGTTTGATAAAGATAAGTTACATAAATACCTGGTAACTAAAACATAGAACTTTTATGAGACCTTTCTCAACCCCAATCACCTAATCCACTCCAAGTAATAAATCATAATACCCTTCTACGTTTATATCTCTAATCCGAATCCATTACCTCTTTCAACCCCCGGTTAACTAAACCATAGTAAGGATAATCCCCTATTTAATTCAAGACCACAAAGGATATCCAATAACAGGTTCACGTTAAGGGTAGCCCCATTTTACGATTCAACACACATCTCTAATGATACCTCAGAGGGCCATTTAAATAAGGTAAAGATAGTGACTATAAACCATAATAACAGCATCACTAATTATTTGTTTTTACTCTTATACGTAATATTGTCTCATTTGCCTTTATATAGATGTATTGTCTCCTAATTATTACTCTACCCCCTCCCCTCTTTATCCCCATGGATCATTATTCAATTACATACAATTATTTGTTTTAAGGGATACAATTATTCACTTCAACTTTATATTGTTACCCCCTTATCCTTCCAATCTATGTTACTCCCTACTCATCAGAATCATTGCTTCAACCCCTCACTTTCTTTTACCCTCCCTCTATATCCCTTCTCCTTTACACCCTATGCACCCATCCCTTCACTATAAATACCTTTAGCTCAATCGCATTTGGTGCTCTCTATACCCCGATTAATCCAAGTTTGGATTCTCTACGTAGGTTATCTTTATTTGTAGATAAGTAACTTGTCATCTTTGATTGGGGTAGGGGATAGGGTAGGGTTTGGAATAAACTAAATATAAAACAAGAAGGGGGAGTAAGTGAGGCATATTGGGATAATAAATGATAATAAAATATATTGTAAATAGCGAAAATAGTTAACTAACTCGTAAGTTGATAAGTCATGAACCCGCAATAAAGGTCGGGATTATAGAACTAAAGCAGGGACAAAGGGACGATCTACAAAAAGGGTAAACAGGATAGAAAAACGTATCTACTAAAATAATTCAGCAAACGATAGTAGGGAACCGATATAAACGTCTTAAAATCCCCCTTTAAGTCCTTTTTGAAGGTAGTCATTTTTGAATGTTGTCTTGAGGGGTTTTGTTTAAATCATAATAAGGAGATAGCCTTCACAAAACTAATAATGTACTATCATTCATGAGATCAACCCTATAGTGATCATATGACAATAGTCTTCCGTGGCTTGGCCCCTTCCTCTAACAAGTTTATAAAGTATAAGTAGGGATAGTAAATAAGATTAGTCGTAAAATAGTATGAGGGGTACAATAAAATTATAAAAATTAACGTTTAGATCTAGCTATAAAAATAGTAGAAAATATCTATATAAAGAGATGCAAAGAATGAAGTTAACACCCTATGAGGGTAGGGATAAACGTCTGTGGATAAAATATAGGAGTGAAATCAAAAGACTGAGGTTTGAAAAGAGGAAGATTCAGAAAAGTCTAAGGGGAAGAAAAGACTAAAACATTGTAAAGGGGGCGAGAAAGATAAGAAGGGACCAATAAAAAGGAACAGGGAAAGTAGAAAAACAAGATGGGGGATGTAGGAGGTTGGTGTATAAAAGGATAGGGCTTAGGAAGGGGGGTAAGAAACTAATGAAAGTGGGAATGATGCAAGAGTGGGGAGGAAAAGAGAATATGGGACAAAATGGGTAGTAAAAGGGGGAAAAAAGAGAGACAAAAAGGGGGTGCAGTGGGTAGAGGGGGAAAGGACTAGAACAAGGGTAGGGAGGGAAAAAAGAACAAGAGACTACAAGGGAACAAGAAAGAAAAGATAGAACAGTATTGAGGAGAAATGGCATGAAGTTGATTTGAACAACTTCTAATAGGACATGAGCCTAATGTGCATCCATTACACCATCATACCTAATGAGAAAAAGGGTAGTAAAAAAGAATGAAGAAAAGAACGGAGAAAGAAGTAGGGGTAAAAGAACAAAGGGAAAAGACGAGAGACCGAAGAAACGCCGTGAAGAACAAAAGAGCTAGAGTAGTGAACCTATCTCGAATAGGAATTGAACCTATACAAATTCATTTTCAATGAACCACTCTACCGTTGAGCTATGGAGATCGGCGCGCTTATCTATTCCCGGCTCTTGATACTTCCCTATAAAACCATTTTTTACATGGCTAGTTATGCGTTACCCTATTTCTTTTCCCCTTTTAGCCCCTATATCCTACCCATCCCCCGTTCTTTTACTCTCGTCTACATCCCCGTTACCCTGACCCCTCTTTCCTTAGACCCATTCATCAAGCTTTTGATTTATGGGTAGGGTCATTCCCCCCACCTACCTTTTTTGGCGCTTACACCCTCCTCTGGCGAGTTGGAGAGTTTCCGTTACTTTTTATTTACTAGATCGTAAAACACTTTATTTATTAGCCTTTAGTTGATTTGCGCTTGACTGACTCCTTTCCTCCCCCTTGATTAGTCAAGTTTTCTTTCCTTTTTACCTTCCCAGCATTGATGTTGGTAATGATTGATTTGAACAATCTCTCCTAGTGTGTAAAACTAATGTCCTGCCAATAGACGAATTACCTTTTTATACCCTTTTTGATTTGTATTTTCCTTTTTATCCCCCTCTCCTTCTCTCTCTTCTCTAAGTTTAGACTCTTACCCCCCCTTTTCTCATCTTTTATCCCCAATCCTTTTTCTTCTTTCTCTTTATACGCAAATTCCCTTTTATATAAATTAATACTGAATAACACAATATTGTGTTTATAAAGTAAAAAAACAGAACCCGAGACTAGATGAACCAAAGGTCATGAAACTAGGTTGGGGGGGAAGAGGAAGGGTAAGAGGGGGAAAAAGGAGGGGGTAATTTGTAGAAAAGCTCACTTTAGATTGACAAATACCACTAATATAATTTTACAAACTTACTTCCCTCTTGTTAGTTTCATCTATCAATTAATTAGCGTTCACTCCTATTCCCATTTTCTGATTTTACTTAGCGGTTTAATAGATTATAAATAGTTCAATCCGCTAAATTATAAGACTTACTAGCTACTTTTAGTCCCTAATATTTATCCCCTCGGTATGATTATATACCTCTTTTAACCTAATGTTCTACCCTACGTTCTCACCCCTCTACACCTATTTTTATTTATTCACTTAGTCATTGGCAAATTTAGTTTTTTGTAAATTGTACTCGTCTCGTTGGGTTTATCATTACCCTTTAATCATTTATGCCCCAACGACTCCCAAATTTCGACAAGTCTCAAGGTCGTCTATCTAACAACTCTCCATTAAACATAACAACGAGCCACTGATTAATCCGATTTCCTTCTTACAAATTATTTATAGCCTTTTATATTATTTTTATTATAAAATTATCAAGTAGGGATAAGATAAATACATTCCACATATTCATTATCTAAATCCCATTTAAGGTAAAATCTAAAGGCGATCCGTTACGATCCCTATACCCTCTTTCTTCTCTTTGATATCCCCTTTTATTGTCCTATTCCCTTCCTTCCCTGTCCTTTATCATTCTAATTTTTCATCCCCCCTACTAGTTTCTTATTACCCTCTTTTTATCCTGCCCTTTTCCCTCCCATCCTATTTATGCTCTCTTCCTTTTCTCCCCTTCCTAGGCCTTATCTTTTACCCCCTCTTTTTATACCCCAATCCCCTTTTCCTTCTTTTCAAATTCTTTCTCCCTCTTCTTGTTTCTTTTTTCCTTCCCCCACTTCTTTGATAGTTATCTTTTTATATTCAAGGATTTATTCACAATCTTGGCCCTATTCCCCCCCTCATACTTAGAATCTTATTATTATAATAGGCTGTAGTTACCTGTTTATCATATCCTTATATGATATTTAGGGGCATAATTTATTTATCTATAAATACTTACTCTTCCTTGAATCTCATCCCTAAGGAGGATTGAAATCCTCTATAGCCCCCATTATTAGTGGGATACCTTTTATATATTACAAATAATTTATTGATTAAAGACTTACATTAAGTTATGGAAGACTAAGAGATAAGATGGACTCATTCTATATCCCCTCCCTTCTCCCCACCCCTATTTTTTAAGACAGATTTTATGGGAATTTCTAGTTTCCTATTTTAAAATACTAACTAGTATTGAAACAAAGATTGTTTATAATTCTATCCGCTTATTCCTTAACTAATTTCCAGATTGAATAGGTCTTAATCTTGATTTAGCCTAAGGGGATGAGGATAATTGCCATGACGAGGGGTTGGGAAAGAATTAAACCATAAAGGTTCCATTAACTAGAATATAGAATAAAAGGGCCCCGCCTATAAAATATAGAAAGAAGAATGGAAGAATAAAAAAAGATTAAAAAGGTATTTATAGGAGGGATGCGAAAATAAATCTATAATAGAAACCAAATAGGAAAATATAAACGTATAATAAAAATACATCTATAATAGAAAACTAATAATAAATATCCCCTATAAGAATAACTAGGGGAATCACCCATAATTCATCTATAAAGAAAAAGAATCCCAAAATACCATAAAAAGGAATCCTCCTATAACTAGGCGAATAAAAGATGGTACAACCCAGTGAACCCTGTAGAGTATAAGATTTTGCCTTTAACAATTGTCTATCCAATAAAAGTATAATTTGGAATAATATATCTAACGAAAGATAAAGACAAAGACCACTAAGTGTCTAGAAGGACGTATTCAATAGTACGTAATAAGAAAATAAGGCTGGTTGGAGTGAGCATGAGGAGGATCTGGGGAGGGCCCCAAATAAGCCGTACCAGATATATGTGTAGGGGATGGTAATAAAAGAAAGGGGATAAAAAAGGGGAGGGGGCGGTAAGAGAAAGGGAAGGGCAGGAAAAGGGGCCGTGGGTATAAAAGAAGGGTGAGTACTAAGTGATAGAAAAGGCTTTAGGGAAGTGGGTATGAGAATAGAACCATAATATAACAAAACCTAAAAGGGTCGTATAAACCTCGCATAGAGAAAGAGGCCCTCTCCCCTGTTTAACAAGGGTTTATCTGGGGAAAAAAAGAGGCTCATTACTTAAATCACGATCCCTTCCCAATAATATTAAAAAAAATAATGCTTTTTATATTTATAATTATCATCGTATCAGTAAATATTCCATAAGACTAGAGAATGGTAGGGTCTTATATTCTATGCCAGTATAATTGTCTACTCTCTTTACCCTTTTACCCGATTGCCTTTTTAATCCTCTGTTGTTTTCGCTAATATAAATGGTGTAAATATGATCCCCTCCCTCCAATTATAGTGAACAGATATACGAGTGCCTTTTAATCAAATATTTTTTATGCACTATCACGAAGCCCTACTGCAAATAGATCAAGTCCCAATTATAGCCAAGGTAAATATAGAGGAGGGGGGACAGGCAAGGGAATACTAATGGCAATCTGGAATTACAAATAGTTACCAAGCTCTAATTATAAGGCTAAACCCTTATAAAGGTTTCGTGCTTTCCCTAGTTTTTTTATGGCCCTAGTTTATCCTATCCCTTGCTTCCTTTCTCCCTTATCTATTTGTTTATACTTCTCATCACCTTAAGTTTTGTGTTATCTAATCCTATATACTGCTCTTGCCCCTTTTCTTCTTATTATGTTTCTATTGGCAACCCTTATCTTTTCCTCCCTACCCCTGTGGAGTTTTTTTGTACTAGGTCATTCACTCTTAGTTGGCTATCATTATTCTAGCCTATACATCGTAAGGCCCCCTTTATTTTTCTTCAAGTGATCTTTTCCCCTCAATCATCCCCTTAGTGGCTTATCATCTATGATTTACAATATAATAACCTTCGTAGGTTATTTACTTTATTGGGTTAAATCTATTCCCTCTTTATCTATTAGTTCTATTAAATATTCTACAAATACTGCTCCTTGGGTAGATTTAATTCTAGATATGCTGATTCTTGGCTATAATTTATAGGTATACTATTTTATCTACAAGCGTAAGTCACACTACAATAATGCAGATAGTCTATTAGGCCTTTATCGAGAATAGTAAAGGGTTGAGGAGAAAGAAAATAAAAGATAATAGGGGTAGGGATAATCGGTATAAGTTAGGAGAATTAGAATAATAATAATAGGTATAACAAGTCGTAAATAATATGGGGTAAGAAAGGGATTATAGGACTATAGGGATGTAAATAAAAATATATAATAAAAATAGGTTGTTAAATGAAAAACTTAAAAATAAACAATCTAAACCTAATAGGTTGTAAAATAAAGACCTTAAATATAAACAACCAAACCCTGATAGGTTGAAGAAAAATTAGAAAAACAATATAAACCTAATAGGAAGGATAAGAAAACATAAAAACCCAAATAAGTCCCCTTCAATAAAAGGGTAAGTGAATAAAAGGTGGGATTGGGAAGGGATCGAGAAACAGACAGATGGGTTATTATATGCTTAGTCACTCTTTATCCTCTATCTCTAATAAGTTTTATGGTAATTTTACCTTAGTGAATATTTATAATCTCTGACAACTATACTTTTATGGTTATGTCCCCCTCTTACTAAATAAATTTTAGCTTAACGAGAATACTTTACCTAGCCAGCCGATTCTTCACCAAGTTATTAATAAATAGATTAATTTTACCATTAGATAAGTAAACAGGAAAATAGAGACGATTTCACATAGTCTTTATTCAAAATAGGGCAATCTTCTCAGTCTAATCGGTAATATTCGGATATTGTCTTACATAGTCTACTCATTTATTCTCTCTTATCCGTTCATCCCTCTCTACCCCGTAGAATTATCGGTATAATTTGAATATTATCCCATGAGTTTAAAGAGATAGGATCTATAAACCATATGTGTAATATATTTATTATTGGGAAATTATAGAGTAATTCCCTACCAGGTTTATGAGTTAGCCATAAATATCAGGTAAGGGAAGAAGAAGCATCACCCACTTAGAGCATAAGCCTCACTGCATGGATACTGCTGTCCCCTTAACATTATAGTCTTTGTGGCATGAGTAATATCCTCGCTACTATAGGTATCCATAGGCCATAATTGCTCTAGCCGGTGTACTCCCTTGTAATTTTCTTCGGTATCAATTAGGATCAGTGCTAGGGTTAAACCCCTTTGCTTCAT